TATTGGCCAAATGGCGAAATATCATAAGTACGGTCTTTTCACGTTGTTTGATCAGTACTTGCAGTTGTCTTTTTGACACTAATTTGTACTTTAAATTTAGATGTCCATTCACAAGAGATAAGCATAACGCAAGAGAAGGTTAGGATGTTGTAAGATTCAGGACCAATAAGGAACTGGACTTTGATTGCGTATTTCCGCTGTTGCAAATTTTTTTAGTCTCGCTATGCTGCGTCATCAGAGACCAGTATCGTGTACTTAAAGATAGATTATTTCATACTCATAGCTATTATCGGCTTACAGCTTTTTCGGCCAATTTTTTTCCGGAGCAGTAAGGTCTCCTATTTTATTTTTGCAACCCTTTTATCTGCCGTCTGTTACACTTTTGGGTATTTTTACAGACTGAAATGACAAATTTCCCTACCCTTTCTGTTTACTTCAAGTGCTGAAATCGCTATCCTTTTATATACTTGAAGCATGAAAAAGGCACTTTTTTGGTGGAACCTCTCGGTATAGGCCACAATAAGGTGTAAGGTCCCCCCCCTCCCCCCCCTCCCCCCCCATCCCAGGTGGGTGATACCAGGAGCCTTTTAGGCTCCTGGCGATGCTGTAACAAAGTAGTTTCGTGGCGATTCAGTCCCTTCTGCCTGCTGTAGATTTACTTCATGTTTACAGCTCAAGACAATCGGCCTCCAAAACGCTCGCTCTTGATAAATATTTAAATTTTCATTTGACTCCTAAGTTTTCAATTCCGACTTTTTGCGGTTAGAGGCTGGGTCCTAAAGCTGTAAATTGACATTTCAGCGGCAAACGACCGCAAACGAATATGCCGCAGAACGTAGGATTAAATTATTTCTTGCCCTCACGATCAGCGCTAAATTTCCGTTTTTCGTGCAGACATTTTTCCCGTCTCCACTTTTATCGTCCGGTGTACCTGAGTTCAGCCGTTTTACACCATCAACCCTTCCTGTGTGGTTAAAAAGAAAAGTAAATATAATTTCCTTTCTGTAAAAATCCCAGTACAGTCAAACCTCGTTAATACAGACACTGGGGGGACCCTAGAAAGTGTCCATATTAACAGTGTGTCCGTATTTAGCCTGTTCCAGGCTCTTAGGAAGTGGGGAAGAAGCGAAAGAGAAAGGCACGCGAAAAGTTGGCGGGGCGGGAAAAAGGAGGAAGTTTCCAGTTTTTTTTTTTCAGTTTTCCCCCGTTTTATTTTCGTGTTTGCGCTTTCTTCAATTCAGCGGACCCGACTGTCTCGGAGCCTGTAACAGGCTCAGAGTCCGTATTAGGCGGGTTCAGGAGCCGATCGGCTCCTGGCGGGTTGAATTGAAATGTACGGGACAAAGCAAACTGACCGTAATAATTACGAGGTGTCCGTCAGTTAAACGCGGTTTGACTGTACTATACAAACGTTCAACCAAAGAGGTTTATTTTGAATGGTTACGCCATACGGTCCTCCACAGATTGAAGTGACAATGAATCTCGCCCGCTGTAGGAGTTCAGAGGACTCAATGACGATCAATGACGATGAATGACGATGAATGACGATCTCAAAGAGGTTTTTTTTGAATGGTTACACCATAAATTAAAGTGACAAATAATCTCGCCCGCTGTAGGAGTTCAGAGGACTCAATGACGATCAATGACGATCTCAAAGAGGTTTCTTTTGAATGGTTACACCATAAATAAAAGTGACAAATAATCTCGCCCGCTGTAGGAGTTCAGAGGAGTAAAAGATCTGAATGACGAGCTACGTCGTGCAATTTCAAAATTATATATGATCATCCGAAAAGACATTCAAGAGTTGACTTCAACAGGATTTTAGAACCCGCCACACGTGAACTGAATGATGACGTCATCCAAAATCGTCAACATCATTCTTAGAACGGAGCGGACATAAATATATTTAGAAACAATAACCAGGAGGGGTTATGAGTCCCTGACATAGTCTACTGGTGGTTTATCTCAAACTTTGTATTTGTCAGGTGAGGTGTAGGGTTGGGGAAAGTATCCCTTCGCCTTACTTATTTTTAGATGGTCAAAAGAAAAATATTTGCTTTGCCGGTTAATTACTTAATCATAACTATAACAAAATTCTCAAATCTGATTGGTTCTCAACTGCCCTGATTTCAGCCTTAATAGGACAGTACGCGTCATGCCTGAGTAATTGGACAGTACGCGCCATCACGCGCGCGCTTAAATGGCTTTTTTTTTTCATTGCTAGCGAAAAAATCTTGGAATTTCTTGTATTTTGATTTAAAAAGAGCCCTATATATCACAAATTTTGTTCAAGTTATGATTAATTGGTAACAGAACTTCGTGTCGTCCAATTCGGTCTGTAATCATACTCGTGATTAAACAAATCGGACTCCCGCTACGCGGTCGTCCGATTTTGTTAATCACTCGTATGATTACAGACCGAATTGGACTCCACTCAGTCCTGTTACCATTACTAATATCAAGGCTTTTGGACCATACGATGTCCGCCGTGTAAAGATTAATAGTTAATCAGATTCATTACTCAGGCAAACCTAACTTTAGGTAATTATTTTTTTAGCTTAGGAACGCTGACCTCTAAAAAAAAACAACGTTTTACTTCGTTCTTTTAAATACTTCCTTTTTTGTTGAGTTGTTTTTAAACAAACTCTTCTTTGGCTGTCTTCTTGGAGTGACGTGATCTGTAATACAACTTGGTAACAGTCCACCAGAATGCAAAAAAACAGCGTTTCTGGCCGTCAAACACTTCGTATTTTCCCGACGAGGCATTCCCTCGGACCCTCTACCTTTTATATATGTATCAAAAAGCAGTTCTATCCCACCTGAACGCAAAATAAACAATACCAAACTGAGCGTTTTCAACAGTTTGAGGCTATGATTTCACTAGAACAAAAGAAAGCGAAAACAAGGCATGACACGAATCTGCTGAGGGGAATACATGGCCAAAAAATGACGAACTGTTTATATAAGAAAAATTGAGCAGAGTTGCTCTTGGTTGCAGGGCCGGGCTGAGCCAGTCATCTTTTTGCGAATGTTTGCTGACGTCATTGTTTACATTTTTGCTCATTCGGCCACGTGATCAAGTATTAGCCAAAAAAGGCGTCGCCCTGGTCAAAAGCCTAACGAGCTCGTCAATTTCGGTGCAAATTTCAGCCCTTTGTTAGCATGAAAGCAAGGAAAATAACTCCATAAAAAGTAAGAAACTGCTATGAAGCAACAACGTTAATGGGCCCATATATACAGTATGCTCTTTAAATTTTCGAATATCTCCCAAATCATTCGGTATTTTGGGCTCAAAAAATCAGAGGTAACTCTAACAATGGTAATCTACCAGAAAACCAAACAGGACGCAAATAAACATGGTATTTTTGCGAGGAGTAGCCTGTTCCAGGCTCCGAGATAGTCGAGCCCGCTGAATTGAGAAAGCGCGAACACGAAAATAAAACGGGAGGAAACTGGGGAGAGAAGGGGCGGCTTTTTCCTTTTTCCCACCCCGCCAACCTTTCGCGTGCCTTTTACTTTCGCGCCTTCCCCACTATCTGGGAGCCTGAAACAGGCTAAGCAAGGAGTGTTTTCTCAATAGGCCATTTCCGAGTTCCTGCGGGCCTCTGTTTCAAAACGAGGGTAGCTGCTCTGCTGCCTTTGATATGGAAATCAGTTTTCATTCTCATGCAAATAAAACTCATTTTCATAAGAAATGTTTTTGCACCTGGCCTCATTTTGAGAGTGAGGGTTTTTGGGACTCGGAAGTGGCCTATTCAGTACTAGTGGTCAAAATGGGTGTGGGTCGTCCAGTTTTTGATAGAGGCTGGGTAACCTACCTAGACTTGTAAGTAAGCACACGAAGAAGAAATCCTACGAGAAGCCTTATTATCGATTCAACTCCAGGAAAGCAAACCTACATTTGATATACTGGGCGTGCTGACATTAGACAAAACGCAAATTTTCATTATTAGCTACGTCGTCTATGGACAAGAAATTTACCGAGACATATCCTTCTATCTATAATTGTTGTACTCAAAAACATGTTTGTCCGTCATCGCTTATCTTTAGTTGCCAAGAATTTGTAACTGAAGACAATCGATGATCGATTGACCCAAGCTTTTGTTACCTTTCTGTTAAGTTTTTCTGCTTCCATTCTGACTATTTAGCAATATATTTAATTATTAATCATTAAGACTCTGCCGCTCTTTATATAACACTCTTTTGCATGTGCTCTGACTTGACTGACGAACATGTTAGAGACATGCAGACAAGGGGATCGATGTTTACCGCAATTGTTGGCGTTTTCTATTTTAAGAATGATAATATACTCTATTTGTGCGCTCGCCTTGAGTGAGGTTGACCTTTCATAATCCCTTCGTTGTTAAAAAAGAAGAGGGGAAAATACTTTTTTTAAAAAAATGTTTACATTGCAGTTTCAGTTTTTTCAAAAATAGTACGGAAAATCTCTACTTCATGAACAAAGAACAAGATCAGTTTCATTAATGGTAGCCCCTTTTTTCGACAATCACAGATCAGTAAATGGATTATTTTAGAAGATTTTAGTGACCCGTGATATGGTTGAAATGTGGCAGTTTCTGTTAAGTGCACGATAAGGGAAATCTAATATGGTTGTTGTGGTAAGTTTGGCGACTATTTGTTTGACCTTTCACTTCATTTCATACACACGGGATGTTCACAAGACATTTATTAGCCCCGAAACCCTGTTATCACGCACANAAAATGTTTACATTGCAGTTTCAGTTTTTTCAAAAATAGTACGGAAAATCTCTACTTCATGAACAAAGAACAAGATCAGTTTCATTAATGGTAGCCCCTTTTTTCGACAATCACAGATCAGTAAATGGATTATTTTAGAAGATTTTAGTGACCCGTGATATGGTTGAAATGTGGCAGTTTCTGTTAAGTGCACGATAAGGGAAATCTAATATGGTTGTTGTGGTAAGTTTGGCGACTATTTGTTTGACCTTTCACTTCATTTCATACACACGGGATGTTCACAAGACATTTATTAGCCCCGAAACCCTGTTATCACGCACAAGTCTGCGGACGACGCAGAAGGCTGCCTTGGGATTGCGATTCCAGTCTCTACGGCCGGTAATGACATTCAGTTTAAGGCACATATCTATAATATCTGGAACGTACTGTGCATTTTCAAGTTGTTGACGCACTGCGCATTGTCATATATCATCTTGAAGTAAGCAAATCTTCAGAGTTTTATCCTGAAAAGATCAGTGCCGCCTTCTCTTCCGACTTTGTGAAAAAAATGAAAGACACGATCGAGCAACCGGACAACAGCGTTTTAAAGCACGGCTACCTCCTCAAACAAAGCGAAGTTCTAAAACAGTGGCATCTGAGATATTTTGTGCTCAGCAAAGAATGCTTGTGTTATTATCGGAGCGAACAGGAGGCAAGAGAAGATCAGAGCGCTCCTAAAGAGCTTATTTTCTTTAATGACATGTCGCTGTACATAGACGAACTCCCAGACAAGCAAACGAAGTACTGCTTGAAGATCGTAAAGAGATCCCTTTCGCCCAAGGTACCAACTCGAACTGTCCTTCTCTGCTGTTTTTGCGAACACGAAAGAAATGAATGGCTGTCGCAGATTCTCCATGCAAAAGCATTCGATCTGGTTGTTGATCCGACTGCATGGATTGGAAATGAGGACTCTTCGGTCGACGATGTCTTTGATATGAACCATGAACAAGAGAGTTCAGTACGAGCAGACAAGCTTGCCACAGCAAAAGAGGTTTTTCGAAAATGCCGCCGTAAGCTTTCCCTGGGTGCGAACCCAAGAGGGGATTCCGCTCCGAGCAGCTTGTTTCCAGATGACTCGAACTTATATAAAAGACGAAAATCACTAACAGTAGATCCAGAATGGAGAAAAGCACTGATGGCTATTTAAGTGCTGTTGCTATACTGAGTGGAACAGGATGAAAGGAAGTCGCCGTCTCCGTCTCCGTCTCCGTCTCCGTCTCAATACTCATGCTCGAGCAAATAGGAGGTAGAATTAGACAGTTATGTATTAACATCACACTAAAAACAGTTAAAAGGGGGAGCCTTATTCGAATGGTATCACCGACTTAGATATTTTATTTTAAGAGGCAGAACTTGAATTTCTTGAAAATAGTAACTCTCCAAAAGCCATTTTACCAGTTACATACTTTTACGCACGTGTAAGCAAAGAGATGTTTGTTATATAATTCAGGAATTTAACTCAGTTAAAGAAAGGAGTACTTATATGGCATAGTTCGATCGCTTTTCTGTCATCAGATCGATTTCGAGAATATCATATACTGTCATGAATATTATCATATTAGTAGCATATTAGTAGCATTCTCCAGGATCCCTATTACATTATCGACCTAAATTATCCGGGAAACAACCAAACCTAGAGATATAAAAGAAACTATTGCAGATAGAAGTTTTATATAACAGGTTTAATAATTGTGATTTTTGCATAGATGAGATATACCGGTATGGGCCTTATCATTAAAAGAAGATTATATAATATTATGTACAGTTAGGTTTGTTATTTATACATAAAATCACTCATATCAGGCCGGATAATTAGGTTTTGAACATATTGGGTTTTTGAAAATAACTTATTGATTTTTTCAGTTTGTAGAAAATGAACAGTCCATGAATAAACTACATCTTCATAAGTTTTATTTCTTTGTTTGTTGTTTCTTTTTTTAAAGGAACTCTTTATGCTCACTCTAAGAGCAAAATGGTGGATGTCAGGTCACTGATAGCAATTTTTAAAGCTTCAGACGATCAGTATAATAATTGAGTTGAAATATCCAAAAGAAAACTTAAGCGCCAGAAGTAAGTTTTTTCATCCGGTAATTTTGGCTAATCAGTTTTAAAGTAGTTAGAAAAACAACTCAAAAACTGAATGTTATTTTGAAAAACATTTACTCAAGTCAAAAAGATGATCTGATTTGTTTCAGTAGTATACGTATATGATAGAATCAGTTGATATTGATCGTAATTGAATAAATTGAAGGACGTTAGTTTAAGAAAGACTAGCCTTGTAAAACTAAAAAGACTGTCATAGGATTTCTTTAGCTAGCCCTCTTATCAATAGGAGCCATTTCACTGACGTGAACTGTTGAGCACTTGATTTGTATTTATGTACGTGCAAGTCAGTTGTTGATACGGACACTGTGGGGGCTTTCGAAAGTATCCGTAGAACGAGGTGTCTGCATTAAGCGGTCTGAATAATATTAATGTAGCTGAAACTGTAAGGGCTTTCTTTCCCAAGGAACAAAGCAAACTGTCCGTAATAATGAGGTATCCGCATTAAGCGGGGTTTGAATGTTGTACTTTGTACGGGAGAAATTTGATACCGGCTTTGGAGCCAGCCAAGAACACGTCCTTCTCTTTGAAACGTGAGTATTCACATTCATATAGCAGAAGAGGGAATGACCTTATTTGAATGGTAACGCTTAAGGAAGCTAATTCACTGTGGCATAACTCAAGTCTGTCTTGTTTAGTAGTATTAAAATGGAACAAAAATCGTCTTTCAAACCAGGGAAAAGAGGCATCTGCCAGCGGGGAAATTTGTTTTGGTTGTAAGCGACACAACAGGGACAAATGGACGACGGTTGAAATACTGAGCATGCGCAGTGGGTCACTACTTACTGTACGTACGGCACATGTTAGCCTTTGGCACATGAAAACAGCACAAAAGATGTCAGTGAATTTAAATGATAACCCTGTGTGTAGGAAAGACTACAAGAACCTAATTCCTATGTATTGCAGAGGTTTATGAATGATTGTTTCGGAGTTTAAGCCTCTACCGCTGGCGGCTTCCTTGTTAAAACATGCTCCACTTAAGAGACAGCTTAAGTGGACATGATCCGTTCTCACGGATATAAATATGACATAGACAGTTCTTTTCTTGTGGTTTGTCGATGAAACGGAAAGAGCCCTGGGAAACAGCCATGCGAGTGGACACGTTCTTCGTTTGCGCGCTTTTAAACATCGAATTCCAACAGTGGCAAAGATCAGTATTAAGAACAATCTAATATTCACAACGTTTTTTAATACTGTAAAACAGGTTAGAGGTTGGTTTCCTTTAAATTCGTCATGATAAGAATTCTTCAAAGACTCAAAATTTACCTAACGTCTATCTTTGGCCTTGCCAACAAACAAGATGTGCTTCTGCTGCGACAGATGACATCGGTAAAGTTTTCTTCAGTGTAATTTGTTTGAATTACTAGGCAAATCTTTGCAGTAGACGGCGGCCGTTCTTTATCGCTTCTTTTGAGGTCTCTTGTTATTGTCTGCTATATGATTTAATCGCCTAACCCTGAAAGCGGGAGATTAAAACCGTGACTATCTGCTCCCCCGTGGCGGGGAGAAGTCCGTGACCGCAACCGAGTGTCTCTTAGAACTCCTATCTGCCCATCTCTGTTTGAAAGCAAATCGTGCCTCTTCCGTTTAGCACAGCAAAGTCTGCCGACACGGCAGCTTGAAATTGCATCAGTTGAATTAATGAATGAATATCTTTAATTAAACATGATCACTATAAGCTTAAGGGTCGTTTTGAGTAACTTCCGATCGAAGGTGTTTTCGTGGAATCTGAGTTTCAGAGGTCTGAATTTTCAAGGTCTAAACTCCCCGCTGATTCTAGACACCTAGACGGTTACGAGCCATTCAGGCAATCGGTCCGCAAAACTGCAAAATGACAAAAACTGTAGTTATCATAGCTATATAATAATCGCTATAACAACAGTGAGGATTACAAACACCGCCCTCTGTATTTTCCGTTTACACTGCCGACCAAATCTTGTCTCGGACAGGGGAACTTTGACCAATTCGCCTTTGACATTTTCACGTTGGAGGGCCACTGTTGGAACCACGCAACCCAAAAAACCACACAGAGGTTTCCAACCTTGCTGAACGTTGCACGTGACAGCTTCTCTGGTGGAACATTAGGGACTTGACACGATGGCTGTGCTCGCAGTATCGCTTGTGAAAAACAGTACGTAGTTGACCTCACCTGGTATTTGAGGTGCCAAGAATAGCATTAAGATAGGAGTAGGAAACAAAGTACATTTTTCTTGAAGTTGAGGATACCATGAGAGAAAATTTGAGGGATTTCACGAGTTCAAGTTGATTGATCAAACTTTTCGACAAAGAATCTTCTTCTGTCACGCTCAATTAAATGACGTTACTGTTAGGAAAAGCTTCCAATATTTCCTCCCAGAAAAAATTTCCGGGAGCATCCACAATATGTGAGTTTTTTGAACAAGACCGGCACTCAAACGGCTGCCAGTTCTTCTGTGAGTCAAAAGTACATAACGACAAAAATTGTAGCCACAATAGCTACAAAAACAGATAGGATTACGAAGCCCGCCAGCTGCTTTATTTCCCGTATACACTGCCGACCATATTGGGTCGCAGACAATGAATCTTTAGCTATTTCACCCTTAATATTTTCATGCGGGAAGGCCACTCCGGTTGGAACCTCGCAGCCCAAAAAATCACACAGCGGTTTCCAACCTTGCTTAACGTTGTACACCAACAGTTTCTCTGGTGGAACAAGGGACTTGACACGATGGTTGTGCTCACGGTATCGCTTACGAAAAATAGTAGTTGACCTGGGATTTGTACTGCCAAGAGCAGCATTAAGATAGGAATAGAAAACAAAGTAGATTTTTCTTGTTGTTGGGGACAGCATCCGGTAAAATTCGCGGTATCTCACAGCCGTAATAAGTTGAAGCTGATTGACCAGACTTTTCACCCAAGAATCTTCTTCTCTTTCGCTCAAAATTACTTTACTCTCAGGAAAAGCTTCCAATACTTCCTCCCAGAAAAAATTTCCGGGAGAGTCCACAAGCACATCAACATTTTTGTAGAGTCGACTTACATCTGGCTGGACGCCATTTTGAAAAACATCAACCCAGTGATCTATGAAATACAAAGTTTGTTCTTCCCAGTCAAAAACCGTGAATCCAAGGTAACGCAAAGCTTTGGTGATTGATGTTGTACCAGTTTTTCCAATACCTGCACAAATTATCTTCATAGTAATCCCTTAGTTAAGTTGTTTCGATGTCTCAGGAGGCAAGATATTGCACAGTTTACGCTCTCAAGAAACAGTTTTACAAGTATTCCGGGTCTTCCGAAGTTTTTCCGAGGTTTGCTCGAAGATGTAGTTTCGTATTTGTTTTAGGAGTCCGAGTGTCTTTCGTGACGAGACCCGGAAATGTAAGCCGAGAAGTCGAGAGATGCGTGACTGGAGAGCAAGCTATTGGAGGATTGACTAGGAGAAGGAAGCGTTGCTTTTACCCTACCCTAATCTTGCGTCCCGGGGCTGACCTGAAAAAACAACTACTTAGAAAACGACGACCTAGAAACAATGCTTTCAAAAATTTTTAGGTTTTCCGTAGGTGTCCTGTGCGTTACTATACATGCTGTGTCGTTTTCCGTTTTCCTCGCACCCAGCTTCCTCGAGTGGGAGTTTCGCCTCGACCTCTTGGCTTGCTGCTATGCGATTTTAGGCTGACACGTCCGACTGGAATTTTACCTTGTAAGCTACTTAAAAAGGTAACTTTGTTGGTAAAAATGACAAGAAAAATTTACATCTTACCTTACGTTGAACTCCTCTGCCAATTCAATATTTTTATGTTCTATAATACACCGGCGATCGATATTTGAAACGATCCCTTGTAACCTAGTGAACGTAAATAACTCAGTTGATATGCTTTGTCGTCCGCCTCTGCGTTGGAAGAGTACGTTGCAAAGGGAGATTTGATCGTTAATTTAATATTGCTTTATTACCATGATATTTTCAGTGTTTGATGCCGAAGTTGCCTTTTGTTTAAATATGCAGTCTTCGGAGATCTCATCCAAGATCTTTATAAATTATTAATCAATGGTTCAGCTGTTTGCGTTTATTTTGCAGTGGCTCATTTTTAGACTCTTTACATTTATTTATTCGAGGCTAAGTTAATGTAAGTGATCTTAAATACCTTTGAATTGATATTTTCTATAATTTTTCATGTGTTGATCACTCAATCTGCAGTAATAAATGTCAAGTATAGTCGATTTATTGTGTTTGTTTTGCAGCTGTTGGTGCTGTTAACATTAGGTTGTTGTGAGATATGAGTGCACCATATCCCCCTACTGGAGTGCAAGGAGGACAACCTACCTATCCCGGTAAAGTACAGTAAACTTGCGCTGTTATACATATGAAATGTGAAAGAAAAGAATGCTTGATTAGAGGACTTTTTTGTGGGAGTGAGACCAAAATGGGAACTCTCTAGGACAATAATTTATTACCCATGGTAAACTGGCATTTTTGTTGAATCTTTGTAGGTCAGCAACAGCCAGGTTATGGACCACCACAACAGGGTTACCCTCCTCAAGGATATGGACCTCCCCCCCAGCAGGGTTACAGGCCTCCTCAACAAGGGTGGGGACCGCCACCTGGACAACAACAGTATCCTGGAGGACCACCTCCCACCCAAGGCTACCCAGCACCTCAACAGCAAGGATATGGGGGACAACCACCTCCACAACAAGGCTTTGCTCTCCCTGTCGGGCAGCAGCCAGGATATGGTGCTGTACAGCAGGCTGATGGGATTCCGGCGGCAAAGCCAGGTTTTGGGCCACCACAAGGTAGTTAGTTAGTTAGTTACATTGTAACAAATGTTTATTCATTTAATTGGTTATTATGTAAAAGGCTACAATAGCTAATGTTTTGATTACTACATTTTGAAGCTGCCCTACATTTAGTTTATCATAGTATATAAAGTTCACCCAGATGAAGAGCTACCATGTAGAACAAAAAAGAATGTAGTGACTCTCTAAAGATGTACATAACTTGTACCAGCACCCAGTTACTTTTATCACGGAAGACATGGAGATTTGTTGACCTGTAAGGGAGACTGGGAGATTTATGCTATATCCCAGAAAATCAGCAGAAGAGTTGCCAAGCATATAGTAAATTCATTATTATATGATAGGGTTAATATTTTTCATGCAAATGCTGCTGATAGGTGAAGTGCAGACACCATCTTACACTGGATCAGATGTCCCTGATGAAGATGTCGATGACAATGAAAATGCCACAGCCCCAGCCCCAACGGCACCCCCAGCTGATATGTTTAGTACATATGCTGGATACGAGAACACTGGATTCGGTTAGTGACTTGTTATCTACCGCTCATGGGATAATACATTTCCTTTACCGTATTTATTCGAAAAAGCGCCCATCCTAAAGGCAGAAAAAGTTAATAAACGCCCAGCTTCGAATAAGCGCCCACCCCCACCTCCACCCCCTCCTGCCCCCAATCAAACTCAATTAAAATTGCCCACCCCTTCCCACCCACTTGAGTGACAATGAGATTGAAATTGAAATTGAATAAGTACTAATAAGAGACTTCCCCAGGGGGGAGTTTTCTTCACAGCATTTTACAGAAACCCTGCTTTGTTACTTCTTCGCGTTTTTTTAATTAGCATTTATTGTTTTGTTGCAAAATAAACATACTACACTTGCTGAAAATAGTGAAAACTTAATAAGCGCCCAGCCTCAAATAAGCGCCCACTCTCAAGGTCTAAAAATTTAATAAGCGCCCACAGCAGTTAATCGAACAAATACAGTATTTGCCACCAGCCAACTTGCAATAGTTATGTGCAAGTCAATAAATAAAATACCTCTTAGTAATTCTAGGGGTGTAGAGTGGTTTCTCAAAAGACGTGGGTCTTGGAAAATTTTGGCCCGATCTTGAAATCATGAAAGCGTTTGTGCTAGGTTTCAAAGTCTTGTTTTCGGGTGATTTTTTCGTCTCGGAGTCTTGAATTTTTTTAAGTATCCATTTTGCAGTCTTGCAAGGTCTTGAATACCATGATTCTATACCTCTCCTAATTCTACCAGTTTGGTTTTTATTTCTTGATGTTGGATGTTGTCACGGTTGTTTTTCAGGTAATGATTACCTACCACCTCCACCGCCATATGAACCCCCATCACAACCAACCCCTGAACAGCATTTCACACAGTAAGTTTAATACATAAATTAAGCCAAGCTCCTGTAAAAAATTATAATTTACTTCAACCAATGAAGTTGAAACCATTGCAAAGAATTCAGTTGAGCCTGCAATCAGTTGGCAACTAATAACTTGTCTGCAGAGAACTTAAAAAACAATAAAAAAACCTGCAATATGGTCATGTGATACTGGTCAGTGGACGCCCTGTTTTGACAGGTGTCAATTGACCCCAACGTGGATGTGGAATATCAGGTTGCAGGCTCCCACACTAGCTACAATCTTGGACAAAAATGTTGGGAAAAATGGACGTTACATGTCTAGTTTCAAGATAAAGCTCTTGAAAGCCCTGGCAGCGACAAATACTCCCCCCTTCCCCCCTAAAAGACAATGTTGAAGTCTGGCTGGATCATTTCTGATCCCGACTAAACAACTTTGACCAGGGTGGGGCAAGTGGAGGGACCATATTGGTACCAAATCTGCAGGATATGTGTTCTGTTGGTCAGAAAGTACAAAATTCTTAACACTTTTTGTCCAAGATTGTAGAAATTGTGACATTTCACCTTGGTTTTGCTGTGGTATTGACACACAGACCAGGACTGTCACTTTGTTTTCAAGTTACTGGGTGACTATGCAATTAGTAGGTGGGAACCTGAGTTGCCAGCAAGTTGTTTTAGTTCTATTTTCCTGTTGTTGCGTACGAAAATAGGCTGAGGTTATGCTCATACTAGACAGGGGAAATAGCTGCATGGTATATTCTACGCTTAGTTAAAGGCTACCCACCCTTGGTAACAGGCTATTTCTGTTATGATATCTTAACAGAGCTACATCCATAAATGAAGAAGAAGCAAGAGATGCACTGCTTGCCTTTGTAGGTGAGCACTGTTGTTATGGCAAAGGGGCTGCTGAGGATATGGACATTAAGGACATCAATCCTTCAAGTGCTTATCATGTAAGTACAGTTGAATCTCCATTAAGCGGCAGCCACCCTTGGGGTTATGGAACTTGGGACCTTGGGCACCAAAGGACGTCCACTAACCAACTGTGCCGGCTCCCTTGCCAGCCAAGCTAAGCGAGCTTAAAAAGTTACTCGCCCTGCCAGAAAAATAATCTACTTGTCTCAGACCAGGAGGCAGGACATTTTTTGAGCCGTGTGAACCCTGGAACAGTCTCAGTCAAATCGACTGACTGCAGATGATTTTTTTCTCTGTCTGTATATTAAAATAATTTCGTCCTTTGATACATTTAGTAGTAAATAATAATAATGCACTGCTTTATATCATAAAATGATTGCTTTTAAAATTTCTTTGAGCATAATTTTCTGATTCAAGTGCTAATTTCCTATAATACTAGCAAATATTTTTTTATATGTACTTTTAATTTGTGAATTGCAGTACAATTTTGTGAGTTTCTGTGAGTCAAGGTCAACTGCTTGGAAATATGAGCCCTACAGAGGTATGTGTGTCTTTAACTAAAACAGTCAAACCTTCCTTTATATAAGGCTCCTCTCAGTGGCCAATCCAGACCTTGGGAGGGGGTGGGGGGGTTGGGTGGTCATCCAGACCCTGAAATAAGGGTTTGTGGAGCGGTCTCAAAAAAAAAATATCGGCCCTTCTGGCCTCAGTTTGGTCTAAAAATAGGGGGGGCTGCCCCCCTGGATCTGTCACTGCCTCTATGAAATGAACAGCTCTGTTACAAACATAATTCATGTGATCTCAAAGGTGCCAAAACCCAAACAATTCTACCTGTGAAATACGGATAATACCCAGTCCCTTTGGAATTCAGCAATGAGCTCCAAGACTGAGCTGCCTCGCTGAAAAGATCTAACCTTGGTTAGTAATGTCGACAAAGCAGTGCTGAGATCCTCCTAATGAACAATGAACAATGAACTCAATGAATTTCTAGAAGTGTGTCTCAAATTTCCCTTTAACCTGAAAAGCCAACTGAACAATAGCTTTTTATCAGGCCAACCATGGCGGGTACTCAAATCCTGGTACATAACTGGGGCCCCAGATCATGGATTTCAGTGCTGCTTTTCACATGGACTTAGCCAAATGTTTAGTTTCGTCTGAGATGCCGGCTATGTAGTCTAGACTACTAGAAAAATCTCGTAATTTGCTGTACTACACAACTGGAGAACTGTGCACCTTACAGATGTATGTCCCCTGTTCCACTTTACCCAATCCCTTCCCCCACCCAATTACTCACTGCACCACTTACCCTACCCTACTTGAGGGCCACAAGTTTATCAGTTTTTTCATAACGGTCACTTGTTTACCCTCTTTAAATAAAGGCGTTACCTTCAGTTACCTTACCTTACTTGCGATAAACTGTACTCTGGGTTGTTAACAACAGCTAGCTAGCCCTGCTGATTTCTGCTGCAGTAATTTATCACATGCTTTCTTTGTTATTTTGTTATCAAAGGTCAGCAGATTGATGGCCCACAAAATGGTCCCGCTCCACAACCATGGGATATTCTTGCTCAGCCAAGTCAGCTATTTACACCCCAAGAGGCGCGTATTGAAGTTCCACACACAGCTTCTGTTAAGGTATCATAGTGACAGTAAACAATGTACAGTCAACCTTCTATTTCAGATTTGGAAGATGAACTAGTTTGGTTTGACTCAATAGAGAGGAGAACTGTGACGTAACGTTACCATGGTAGCAAAATTGGATTGACTCAATTGCAGAGTAGAAAGCAAAGTGTGTGTGTGTTTTTTTGATGGATCGCTTTAAGTCTGAAGAAAGAATACATCCTAAATTTTGCTCGCACAGACCCCATTTACACGGATCCGGGCAAATTTTTGTATGGACAAGAACTTACACGGATCCGCTTTTCGTTTACAGTACGGAACCCAAGGAACCGTGCAAGTTTTTGAATGGCGACGTTTCTGGGAAACTCCCTCCGAGCCCTTCCCTTAAGTCAACATCAACACTTACTTCTCACTTGGGGGAAAATGTTGCCATAGGGGAGGGGTAAGTGGGCAGTTTCCCAAAAACGTCTTATGATCCTAAACAGTACTGCAATCTGTAACAGAATTTGGACGGTTCCGTGTTGACTGGTTGCTGAGGTAAAAACGTCCTCCGTTCAAAAATTTGCCCAGATCCGTGTAAAAAAAACCCCAGCATTCCCGAGAGATATGCCTTAGTCTATAATATTATCGCTTTCTCTTGAAAGTAGGAAATGTGGACTACATTTTGAGTCTAATTGCAGTGAATCTTACATTTCATTACTTTTTCTTTTTTCTTTTTTTCAGCCATGCCATGAGTGTATGGCTATAGGTTACAAGCGCTGCTACAAATGTTACGGTCGAGGAAGGGTAAGGATCGCAGACAGTTTTTCACATTAGTTGCTTCCGCAAGAAAAACTTGAAAAGATGAGGTTATCGTGAGTTTTCCCTTTTGCTTGCTCGTAACATATACTCGACTACGTGCGACTGTCCTGCTAATAACTGCTTGCAGTCGATAAATACGATCAATCCTGTTCATAACATTACTATACCTTCGTGTTTTTCTTGACATAAGAATCAGTAATTATGCTGTAAAATTTTAGCATAAACGAAAGAAAACAAAGAACGATATCATTTGTTGCACAAGGGCGGCAGTCAATAAACACGTGAAATACGAAAACTGGAAGTCCAAATTTTATACTTGAGTGTCAACAGGGTAACCAACAACGAGATAAGTAAATAGGCCTCTTATGGCCCATTATGGTATCTTATTGCTGGGCTGCATTTATTCAAAGGAGATTCTTTGCATGAAAATAAGGATCACGATAGTACTAAGTATTATGAACCAAAAAGTATGTTGGGATTGACATTTACGAAAAAGCTTTCCCATACTCAGTTAAAACGCGATTTTCTGAATTGGGTCACGTTGTATTGGATGTGTCCTGGTGACGTCATGATCAAAACCACTTGATCGGTCACTTAGGAATCACAATTCAAATTTTGTCCAAATATGGATGAAATCGAGTGTTTGCCTATATCTCGTAGGTTCGTTGCACATGGTGTCACGGTTCAGGTCACCGCACGGAATACAGGGACGGTCATCATCATCGCACGTGTTGCACGTGGTGTCATGGATCAGGAAGAAGAACGTAAGTACCATGAGCTAACCATGTACAGTTGATCCTCTCTACAACGGGGCACCTTAAGGACAGAAGAAAGTGGCCGTTGTAGAGAGGTTTTAAACAAGAATCAATACATGCATTTTTTTCCGCCGGGATGAAAAAAAAGTGGCCGTTGTTGAGAGGTGGCCGTAAGCGCAGGTTCGACTTTAATCCAACACAGTCTTGCATTGTGCACTTCACGCTGTGGATTCCGGATTTGAGGGATTGAATTCCGGATTCTTTTTAGTGGAACTTGGATTCGGGATTCCAATCGTTTGCGGGATTCCGAATTCCTTGAGTTTAATTCTGGATTCTTAAGGCCCGGATGATAATAATAATAATAATAATAATAATAATAATAATAATAACTTTATTTATCTCCTCAAAAAGGCTTTTCAGCTTAGTTTACAATTTCAAATATCTAAAACTTAGTTTTCCAAAAATACCGTTAAAAAATGCTTTTTTATTTTAACTTTGTATGTGGCCATATTGGTCCTCCAAAACAATGAAACGGCGGCCATGTTGGAGTCCCAGACCAGTCCCGTGGGAGTTGAACTCTTTTCTTATGCAAATACTTTCTTTTGTTCCAATTAATTTGCATAGATGCTGGCCACGTGAGTGAAAACGCTCTACATATTAAACGAGTCGACCTTCGTTATTCGGTTTTTATCGATTCGGTTAAATGTGGGAATAAGTAGCCTGCGTAGCAAGCGTTTCCGTTTGGTTTCGCAGCAAAGAAAGAAACGGGATTCTCGGTTTTGGCCACGCGAGAAATGAAACGAGCCAAAAAATGAAACACTTACGCCATTTTTCGCGCGGTCTTTGACTCTCGTTCCTCGTTCTTTGCTCCTAAACCGCACGGAAACGCTTGCTACGCAGGCTAGGGAATAAGTACCTAATTTTACCTTTTTGTTTGCTTGTTTTGTAGCTGTAATACTTGTCATGGCCACGGCCGGGTGATGTGTTGGACTTGCCAAGGTCAAGGTCACCTAAAGATGTATATTCAACTGACTGTCAAATGGTAAGTAAAGTCGTGTTTCTATCTTAACCTCATGCCCCGTAATCTGGAGAAATTTGAAAATACGTCGCTTTGCCTTCCGTTTCGTCTACCTTCCATACGAACCGGCGTTTTCCTTCACCGAAATTGGTCTCCTGAGAACAGAAATTTGGAAACGATCGGTGAGATGGCAGGTGTGGACCATGCTTGTTCCCAGGGTTCTCTCTTTTCCTCCAAGAGAGAGGATCCTGGGAACGATATTAGGTGAGGACGGCTGAAAACGGGCTCAAGTGAATGATTTACGCATGCTCTATTGGCTTCTAAACACTGCGACAGGGTCACGTTTTCAAACTGGGTTAGTGTGATGCGAAATCGACAGCGCGGCCGGAAAATATATCATTTTTTGCGAACCAAGCTTACGATAGAGGGTGACACTTAACAGTTCCAAGAGTCGATAAACCTGTGGCCCTCTATTAGCTTCTAACTAATTGGTCATGGGGACACTTAAAAGATTAAATTTTGTGCAATGTTAGTTTTTTGAGGAAAGGATAAAAGCAGAGTATGCAGATAAAAACTTTTCTAGATCGGAGCAGGGAAGGAGACAAACAGCAAACTCAACCCTTACATAGCGTCAAGGATCTTTAGGTTTCTATCTACCGTTAGAACCACCTTGTACAGCATGATACGCAAGAGAATGGGGAAGTGTTTCTTGGTTTCTTACTATAAGCTTTAGTTTTAGTTTGAATGCACACACTTCTGATAAAACGCTATCCAAGTGTAAACACAGGAATTCATCACTTAATGGCTGTCATTTGAATGAGTTTCACCTTAAAATCCAGTTAAAAGACCAACCTCGTTCCCAGGGTTCTCTCCTACGGAGCTCCATAGGGCGGGTAGGAGAGAACCCTGGGAACGAGGTTGTTAAAAGACTCAAAAGGGTGTAAGAATAGTTAGAGAGATGAAAGCCAAAACTAGTTCTCTGAGTCGGTACAGTGGAACCTCGATATAACAAACCTCTTTTACTCTTTTTGCTAGTCCCTTGACCGTTCGTTGTATCGAGGTTCCACCGTATCGAGGTACTTTTTCATACATTTTACTATTATTTGGGTAAAGAAAATCGTTCGTTATACCGAGGACTTCGTTATATAGAGGTTCCACTGTATGTTGCCTCTATGATCACACAATATCATAATTTATAAACAAATGGTTAATAGGATTTTTGACTTTTTCAGGGAGTGTCACATTGACAACCACGTTACAGAGAGAACAGACCTGCCAGATCATCTCATAGTGGGATCACAAGGAACGGAAATTTTTACTCAAGAATTTCCAAGGGTAACAGCCAGATTTTCTGCGCGTTTGTGTTCGGATAGCTTCAGAAGAATGGCGGTGTTGTATACCGTTAAATGTAATTAAACGTTGTTTATGACCAGGGGCAAGACTGTTGTCAGCAGCGTTCCAGGTTGTGTAGTGTTTTTATAGCGTTTGGTAGCATTTGTGTTGGTGCTGAAGCACTCGGGCGTGCCATTGTTCAGCGGTATCCGAGGTCAGCGCATGCATTGCTTCCAAATGTGCTTGCAGGTTTACTTGCGAGTACTTTAGGGCGCGATCCATTCGACCAAAATTTCCGGAAATCTCGGTCCAAAACTCAATGGATCGGTTCGGTCCAACCGGAAAAGTTTCCAAAAAACTGGTCCATCTTTTGAGGTGGACCACTTTTCCCGGTCGGAATTTTGGTTGAATGGATCGCGCCCTTAGTCACGGTCGGGGGCTCAGTTTGGGCAGACCACTCGGGTTTTCTATCGCCTTGGGGGTTGTGATTGTGGACAAATGGTTGTAGCCCCCAGTCCCCTTGGGCACCTCACTTCCATTCGCAACTAGAGTGTGAACCCACGTTTTCTCTTGCTATAACTTTGTAAGAAAGACTGCTTTCTTCTTTCCTGAGCTTGTCAAAATTATAACTTCTTCACTGATTAGTAAGTGCCATACTACTTTTCTTCCCGGTCACTCAGTGATAGGCTATCCATTCTTTGCCAGCCACAGCTATCCACAAAAGCATGGCAGCAAAAAAAATTATGTCGCTCAAGAATTTTGTGTCGATGACTGATCATTTCAATTTCATCCTGCTTGCCGACGTCGTATTTTTTTTCTTTGTAGGTTTATCCAATCACAACGTTCCATGACCCGGATGTTAATTGCGGTTCCCAGGCCCTCGTTGATGCTCATTCCCGTAACTGGCCTAATAAACGAATCCTTATGCAGGTCAGTAAGAAAACTGTCAGGTAACTACAGGTGGCCACTTTAGAAATGAGAAGGAAGCTGAGCCGTGTTAGTTTTCTCAAAGATTTCTAAGACGGTAGTCTTTTGTCTGGTCACGCAACGTTCCCTTCTGGGACGATTATTGGGAACAGAGGAAAAATACGCCATTAACTGACCCGGCGCTTCCCCAGAGACGATCTTAGAGGTCTTTGTGAAAATTAACTCGGCGTAGTTTCTTCTCTTTTTTAAACTGGTGAATGTCTTTCCAAATTATACAGTGGAACTGCTATTTAACGGCTGCCCTTACTTAGGGATGGGAAAACTGTTAGTTCTGTTCAAAGGCAATCCACTGCTTTTCTTACCATTAACTTCCTACTACTCTCACGTTTCAAAATGGCGCGTGACAGGGCGTGGTACCCATGGGGTGAAGAGAAAACCATTCTGTGCTATTACCCAGGCACTGGTACTCGGGCACCAAGTGATACATTGTCATAGTGTGAGCCTATACCTGTATGGATTAATGAAAATGAATTTATTTCTTGATTTATTTCAGCGTCACACGTTACGAGCTGTGCCAGTATCTGAAGTGAAGTATGAGTGGAAAGATAAAAACACTCGTTTCTGGGTGTACGGCCTGGATCACAGAGTGCACGCCCCAGACTACCCCCAACAGTGCTGTTGTGGTTGCACTATAATCTAGAGTAGTCAAAGAATAATGTATAGCATCGGTC